AGTAGATCCAGGCTGAGTAGATCCAGGCTGAGTAGATCCAGGCTGAGCTGAGTCAGGCTGAGTAGAGCCAGGCTGAGCTGAGACAGGCTGAGTAGAGCCAGGCTGAGCTGAGTCAGGCTGAGTAGAGCCAGGCTGAGCTGAGTCAGGCTGAGTAGGGGTGTGCAGGGCTGAGCAGAGTTGGGGCTTATTAGTGGCAGTGCAAAAGGGGCATAAGACACAACATCAGGTCGGCACTATTTGTCTTTATAGAGAAATAAAAATCATCACCACTAGACTTTTTACTTGTGTTCAACACTACTCATCTAAATGATGTTTAGGACAATAAGGTGCGGGGTTTTAGAGACATTTCAACTTTAATGTACCTGAACACACAGAGTCTCTTACACCTGCAGCATCTTACAGCGTCACAGTTACTGCTAAGCTAACATGTTACAGACGTAGCACTCCACTTCTCTCAAGCATCCTAACATGTACTGTATATATGTTTATGATCAACCCCCCTGGTCAACAACTGCCCGCACTAAGCATAGCTAAAAGTTGCTGAGTGAGCAACACAGGTGTCTCCCCATCATCAACCTGTGAGCGTTCTCTGCCGAGGCAGGAGACGCAGAGGAGAAACACTGGGTGCTGGAGAGATGTAGGTGTAGTGAACTAGGTCTCCGACATCAACCCGTCTCTGAAGACCTTCAGGGGACAGGAACTGCTATTTCATTGATTTGAATCCAGAAATACAAATTATCTCATCAAGAGACTATTTAATTTTATCCTGAATTAATCAATTGAAAGAACACTCTTCTTTTACATTATCAGTACTATTTTAAGGTATCTTGATAATCAAAAAGTGTGTTTAGTTCATACCATTTCTAAATGTTGAAGTGAACCACTCATTTAAATCAACTGTGAAACAGTATTAATGATTTTTAAACCTCATTAGATTTTGATCATACAGTTAAATGCCTATTTACGAAGTAAGTGTGCATTTAGTCTTCTGTCTGAATGAGGAGTAGTGCATGTCGGTCGAAAGTCAGAGACAGGTTATGAGGACGAAGTGTCTTGTTTTTAAAACTCGCAGACGGTAAATAAGAACTCCTGGCACCTGCTTCCTCTCACCTCTTAATAAACATTTATCCGTCTGCACTAACCGTTCGTAAACATTCCTGCTGTCTCTTGACTTCTAGTGACCCTCTGACATCACTAGAACCACACCCCTGCTGGTTGTTTCAACCATTCAGGAAGTACCACGTAACAGGAAGTGTATACCCCTTTAAAAGGAACACTTCTTGGAACTATTCAGTGCAGTCCTGGAGTTTAGTGCTGGAACTCAGTCGGAGTCTTAAGTCTTAGTCTTCACGAGTCTTAGTCTTTTCCAGTCTTGCTGGAACTTTCAGTCAGAGATGAGACTCAACTAAGTAGCGGATGGATGGGACCATGTGCCAAGGGGTCCCTCCATTTAGCGGAGTCACAGCTTGCATCGCTGTGCCCTCAACCCGAGCAGTAAATGCTCCACTGCTAAGGAAGCTTATTCGGTAGAACCGAGTACTTCGCATTTATTCTGATGACCCAGCTACTTTAACCGGAGACGCTGGAAAGGGAGCATACTAATGGACTTCTGTTCCGGAGTGGAGGTATACACCATCTCAGGTAACAAAGTTGCTGCATGTCCTGAAGTGTACCGGAAAGCTGAGCTGGATGTCGGAGGAAGGGTGCAATGTTCTGGTTCCACACATAACTTTCATCCCTCTAAAGCTTTCTCCTTAAATCTATTTCTCCTCTCTTAACCTTGCTATTTGCCAGTAATCTAGATGCCTTCAGAGGTGAATTGGCCTCAATCAGTAATGTTCTGTTGTCTTGTTAGTAAAGCGTGCCAAGTTTATTAATCAGAAACAGATCAGCAAATCAATGTGTACATGTTTTGATGTTAAATTTTGATTCTGTTAAATAAATGACCGCATTTATTCTGATGGGTCAAAGATAAAATGGCGTCTCATGTCACTGATTTAAACAATCCACTCACAGTTATCTTGGTCACATGGCAGAAATTTAACTCGAAAAAGAAAATAATCCGTTGTAATTAAACAATTAATATTCTTTGTGCTTGAACTAGCCTTAAGAATAATTAATTAGTAGTGAAGTTAACGCCTTAGCTCACTACATAAATGATGGCCCGTTCGTGTTTTAAATAACATAAATAGTGGCCCGTGTGTCCACAGCAAAGCTGTCCTGACATACTACATAGGTAACCAGAAAACCTGTAGTGGATTTTAAAAAAAGTCAGGGCAGTGGTTTGAGTATTCTATTAATCAAGTGGAATGGATTTGTTCACAAAGAAAGAAAGTGCCGACTGAAATAATGATAAAAGTGGGGGGGTCCAAATTAACCTTTTTTGAATGTGGGGAGGGGACACGTCCCCTTCACATATAATGGTTGTGACGCCTATATATGAAAGTCACTGATGATATTCTCATGGCCTCAGTCAATGGACTTGTGTCTATACTGGTCCTGTTAGACCTCAGTGCTGCATTTGATACAATTGATCATAATATTTTACTACAGAAGCTTGAATATGATCTTGGGATTACAGGAACAGCTCTAAAATGGTTTAAATCATATCTATCTGAAAGATTTCAGTTTGTAAATAAAAATAATAAATCTTCCTCATACACCAAAGTTAGTCATGGAGTTTCTCAGTGTTCAGTGCTTGGGCTAATACTGTTTATATATGCTTCCATTAGGTAAATCTAAAAAAGTTCAGTCAGGTCCTCTGTACAGATTAAAAAAATGAAAATAAAAAAAAAAACTTGTGGAAATGTTTCGTCTTTAATCCAAAGACTTCATCAGTTTGAGGAGCTGTAAAACCTTCTCATAGTGGATCAACCAGTTTTTGTTGTTGACATTCATAACTAACTGTTCACATAATATCAATAATGTTTTTGTTAGTTTCGTTAAGGTAAGAGATGTGTATTTTGGTTAATTTATTTTTTTGTTAGGTAAGAGAAAAATAGTGATAGATTGTTTTGTTTTGTTGTTTTAGCCTGGGCTCACCCTGAAGTTTGGTAAGACTCCAACTAGTCAACAATATATTCACAATTGTAAATAAACTCTCTGTAGTATTTACCCATATCCATTGGCTTCGTGGCTGCTTGAGGGGTGCAGAAGGTGGAATCATCCACATTTAATTACCATACAACCTGGTGGTTGTGTTTGCCCAGGCTGGAACGCACAGAAATCTAAAAACCTGTAACTCTGTAGTGGGCTGGGTTATCAATCAGAAACTAAAAACAAACCTACTAATAGTAAAACCAGGTATGAGTCTTGATGTGATACCTAAACCAAAAGTGGACATCATGACTATGAAAGCCAATCTGTTACTTGTTATAATAAAAAAAAAAAAAAAAAAAATATAGGCAGCACGGTGGCGCAACTGGTAGAGCTGCTGCCTCTCAGCGAACAGGTCCCTGGTTCAAACCCCGGTCCAGGGGCCTTCTGGGTGGAGTTTGCATGTTCTCTCCGTGCATGTGTGGGTTTTCTCCGGGTGCTCCGGTTTCCTCCCACAGACCAAAAACATGCATGTTAGACTGATTGGTAACTCTAAATTGTCCCTAGGTGTGAATGAGAGAGTGAATGGTTGTTTGTCTCATTTGTCTCTATGTGTCCCTGTGATGGACTTGCGACCCGTCCAGGGTGTACCCCGCCCCTCGCACAGTGATTGCTGGACATGGGCACCAGCGATCCCCGTGACCCAAAATGGAATAAACGGGTAAAGAAAATGGATGGATGGATAAATAAAATATTGAACGTAGCAGAGTCAGAAAAAACAAGATTTTTTTCCAATATGTATTACCGTACTTTTCGGTGTATAAGCCGCTGCTTTTTCACAGGCTTTGAACAGGCTTACACAATGCTGCAGCTAATTTATGGATTTTTTTTTTGATGTGCTGATGAGCTTCCTGCTGCCAAAAGCATTTAGCTTTGTCACATCCAGACACCCAATACACATCTCTCTTGGAGGGTGGGTCCTCATGACTCAATGAGATTACCTGTATAAAGGTTAAAAAAATATGACCAATGAAATTACCAAACAGGTCGCAGTGAACCAATGAGGAGAGAACGGGGAGGGGGGATCCCCCCCTCACTCATGAGGAGGAATCTTTATAAATAAAGGTTGAATGAATGAATGAATTATATACAGGTGTGGCTTATATATGTACAATATTGTGGGTTTTTTATTTATTTATTTTATTTAGGGTATGCTCTTTAGACCAGAAATTACGGTAACTTTTTCCTGACTTATACAGAATTGGAAAATACTAAAATCAAATTCCAGACTTTTTCCATACTTTTCAAGATTGTATAGGAATCCTGCTAAAACATGACATTTGAACATTTGAGGCCTAATAAGCCAAAACACAAAGCTACCTCCGTGTAGTTCCCCCACTTGCTGTAGATGGCAGACAAGAGCCGATAACATTCGATACAGCTGCCTTCTCTGGATATGATGTCCAAGGTCATCTTCTCTGCCTCTGTGTTGCGATCAGCCATGGTCAAAACCTGAGCCTGGAAAAAAACAAACCACATTTTTTAAATCTAAAAAAATTAAATCTGGTCCTCTTTACATTCAAAAAATAACAAAACAGAAAAAATGTAGAAACGTTTCGTCTCTCATCCGAGAGACTTCCTCAGTCTGAGGAGCTGTATTCAGCTCAGTCTCTTAAATAGCACCTTCTCAGAGTGGATCAACCAGTTTGCTGCTGACAACCAAAACCAGCTGCTGTAGTGAACCTAACCTGATGTCAAACTAAGCCTAAGGTCAAAACCCTTGACCTTAAGAACCTTGTGGGACAGAAACTGTCATTTCATTGATCTGCATCCAGAAGTACAGTTTGACCCATCCTGAGACTTTCTTTCTTGAATTAATCAAGTAGAAATGACAATTCTCTTTGATCATTACTATTTTACAAATGTTTGATAATCAAATTGTGTTAGTTCAAACAATGTTTACAGGTTGAAGCGAACTACTCATTTTTATTTTACATAAACAGTAAGTAATGATTTTTATTCCTCATTCAAAGAAGAAATCAGGTTAATATGCAGTTCTTGATTTTCTGTCTTCAATGAGCAAGTTTTGTAAGTGTGTGTCAAAGTTCAGGTTTCGGTCAACTAAAAAGTTTACTGAAAAGAAATGTCATGTTTAACTTTTACAGAAGATACAGGAGAGTTTGACTCCACGAAGTCTGGTTTTCTCCAATAATCTTTCTGTCTGCTTTAAACAAACTTAATCTCTATCCTTGACTTTCATAACACCTTACATCACAAACCACACCTCTGTTCTGGTCCATCCACGAATCAGAAGGCTCTCAAATGACCCGGAAGTCGAACCCATTTAAATGTGGCAACTTCCCAGTTCTCGGAGAGAAGTGTCGTCTAAAAGTTCCGTTGTCGTGTCGAGACGAGACGTGACGAGATGAAAAGAGCTTTGAAAGAGTTGGAGACGTAAAGAGTTCAGAGTTCTTGGATGCAAACGCATTCAAGATGATCCAGAGACGGTTTTGGGGATTATAACTTCTGTTTGGATAACCTCACATGACTCCTAGGGGTTTGGCTGTCCTCACGGAGACGCTGAAAGAGTCAGAAGGGAACTCTACACCGACGCTGATTATCATCTGCCAGGTAAAAGTCCTATTCGACCAAGCGTACCGTGGGCCAAGCTTATTCTCCAAAGAGCGTGTTGTTCTGGTACCACAGATAAATTCCCTCACACATCTCTCTGTAAGATAAATCTCCATTTTCCATCTTAAACTCTCCTTTCTCCTAAAAATCATTACAGATATTTTAGAAATGTCTGAAGCAAAGTTTCTCAATCACCGCCGTGTGATTGATGTCTGCTGTTCTACTGAAAAGTGACAACAATCGCCGTATTGTTCTCACTTCCTGTGAAACTAGCCATGTTATTGTTTTCATATTTTGCCAAATTAATGTAAATGTTTGATGTTAAACTTTGATTCTGTAAATAAATGACCGCATTCATTTTGATGGGTCAAAGATAAATAACGTCTCTCGTTACATTTCTGTTAAATTCAATGCACGACATGTACACAGTCAGAAAAATGAAGAACCAATAAATGTATGAATATATCCTGCATATGTCATACTACATATTGGTGGCCCGTCCGTACGTTAGTACCACTATTGGTGGCCCGTTACGTGTTCATAAATGACTGTGTATTCGTGTAAAGATTGATTTTACATGTTGGCATGAAAAATAACAGTTTGTCAGCTGTGCTGAAACTGTTATGATACGGACTACCCAGTGGGAACGAGAACCAGAACGACAAGAGCCTCAAGTAAGCAAAAAACAGTGTTTATTTATATACAGTGAATGAAAACGTGTATATACAAAAGTTGGCCTGGGACTCCTGAAAAAGGGAAAGACAGGGTCAGGACTAAGTGGCAAGAGGAGGCAGCTCAAATGGTGGAATAAATTGTTTGTCTTTTCTTACAGGTGGATCCTTGTGGGGTGAGGTTGTTGGGAAAAAATCCAAAGGCAGGCAAGTGGTTGGAGGGCAAAGGTACTGAGGCGAGACTCCGACACAGGAAGAACCAAGGGCAGGATCCGAGGAGACCAGGAAACTGTAGACACAAGAATACACGGTAAGAACTCCTTTTCATAAACTCAAAAATACTGGCTAGGGGCACAACTACCAAAGAGGAAGTAATGCTCCAGCGACGAGAAGAGCTTGACTGCAGCCTTATGTAGTTGAGGAGCTCGTCAGGTGGAATGGTCGTCAGCTGTGGATGATTGGCGGCCATCTTGGGGCTGCAGCAAGTTCAACTCTTACAGTACCCCCCCTTCACGGGACGCCCCTGGGCGACCCAAGGCGCTTCTCGGGGTGGGCCTTGAAGAAGGCGGTGATAAGGCTGGGGTCCAGTATGAAGGAACGGGGAATCCAAGATCGCTCCTCCGGCCCATAGCCCTGCCAATCCACGAGATACTGGAAGCCCCGTCCCCGGCGACGGACATCCAGAATGGTACGGACCGTGAAGGCAGGATGGTTGTCGATAAGTCGGGCGGGTGGAGGGAGGTCGGCAGGAGGGCACAAAGGACTCTCTGAAACAGGTTTTACCTGAGAAACGTGGAAGGTAGGGTGGATTCTCAAGGAGTTGGGGAGCTGTAGGCGCACCGCCGAGGGATTGATGATCTTGTCAATCGTGAATGGGCCGATGAAGCGAGGAGCCAATTTCCTGGGGGTGTCCTTGAGATGAATGTCTCTGGTGGATAACCATACCTTCTGGCCCTCCTGATAAGCAGGTGCGGCGGAACAGTGACGGTCCGCGAACCTCTTGTTTTGAGCAACTGTGCGAAGAAGAGCCGCCCGTGTTTGGCGCCAGACACGTCTACAACGGCGAAAATGGTGCTGGACAGATGGTACTGACACCTCTGTCTCCTGACTGGGGAACAAGGGAGGGAGATAACCCAGAGAAGCCTCAAAAGGTGACATACCTGTGGCCGAGGAGGTATGTGAGTTGTGGGCGTACTCGACCCACACAAGGTGTTGACTCCACGCCGAGGGGTTACGCTCCACAATGCACCTCAGAGTGGTCTCCAGCTCTTGGTTGCACCTCTCAGTCTGTCCGTTTGACTGAGGATGATACCCCGAAGTGAGACTGGTGGACGCCCCCAATGTCCTGCAGAAACAACGCCAAACTTGAGAAATGAACTGCGGCCCTCTGTCTGAGACCACATCTGAAGGGATGCCATGAATCCTGAAAACTTGTTGGACCAAGATTTGCGCCGTCTCCATGGCCGATGGGAGCTTGGGTAGCGAGACAAAATGTGCTGCTTTCGAAAACCTGTCGATGATGGTTAGGATGGTGGTGTTACCTTCAGAAGGAGGCAACCCAGTGACGAAGTCCACTGAAATGTGAGACCAGGGTCGGCTAGGCGTCGGCAGAGGCTGTAGGAGACCGGCAGGAGGCTGAGTACCGGTCTTATTCCTGGCACACGTGGAGCAGGCTGCGACAAAGTCCTTGACATCTTTAGAGAGCGTGGGCCACCAGAAATGTCTCTTAGTAAGAGACAGCATACGTGCTGTACCGGGATGACAAGAAAGTATATTGGTGTGGAGCCAGTCAAGTACCTTGGACCTCATATGAGAGGGGACGAATAAAGTGCCAGGGGGACCAGTGCCAGGATCAGGTTCCGTCAGGTGGGCCTCACGAACCTCTTTCATAATAGGCCAGGTAAGGGCTCCGACGATGCAGACCGGGGAGATGATGCCCTCCACAGGTTCCGGAGTGTCTGGAGGAGAAAACTGGCGGGAGAGAGCGTCAGGCTTGATGTTCTTGGTACCAGGTCGGAAAGTCAGAGTGAAATTGAAACGGTTGAAAAATAAGGACCAGCGTGCCTGTCTGGGGTTTAACCGTTTAGCCTCTCTCAGATATGTGAGGTTCTTATGGTCTGTCCAAATCAAGAAGGGAGTCTCTGTGCCCTCAAGCCAATGGCGCCATTCCTCCAAAGCCAATTTAACAGCCAACAATTCTCTGTTGCCCACATCATAATTTCTTTCTGCTTGAGACAATCGGCGGGAAAAAAATGCACAGGGGTGTACCTTGTTATCCAGTAGCGACCTCTGGGATAGAACCGCCCCGACTCCTGTATCAGAAGCATCCACCTCCAGGATAAACTGCCGTGTGGGGTCTGGATGACAAAGAATGGGTGCGGATGAAAATAAATCCTTCAGCTTACCGAAAGCAGCGTCGGCCTCAGGAGTCCATTTAAATGCTCTGGTCGTGGAGGTAAGCTGAGATAGGGGTGCGGCGATGCGGCTGTAATTCCTGATAAAACGCCTATAAAAGTTTGCGAATCCCAGGAATCGTTGCAATTGTTTCCTTGTATCCGGAACTGGCCACTCCACCACTGCCTTAATCTTCTCAGGGTCGGTCCTGAAAAACCCCTCCCCGAAGATAAACCCCAAAAAGGACACGGATGAGGCATGGAAATCACATTTCTCGCCCTTTACAAAAAGTTGGTTCTCATAGAGCCTTTGTAGAACTGCTCTAACGTGGTGAACGTGTTCTTCCTTGTCTCTAGAATAGATTAGGATGTCGTCGAGGTAGACGAAAACAAAGTCCCCAATAAAGTCCCTTAACACATCGTTGACCAAAGCCTGAAACACCGCAGGAGCGTTAGTGAGCCCAAAAGGCATTACCAGATACTCGAAGTGACCCAACGGGGTCTTGAATGCGGTTTTCCACTCATCTCCTTGTTTGATGCGAACCAAGTTGTATGCATTGCGTAAGTCCAGTTTAGTGAAGATGGTGGCTGGTTGTAACTGCTCTTGAATGGAATTGATTAATGGAAGGGGGTATTTATTTTTAATGGTGATGTTGTTGAGTTCACGGTAATCGATGCAGGGACGCAGAGACTTGTCCTTTTTAGAAATAAAAAAGAAACCTGCACCTAGAGGCGAAGTTGATGGGCGAATAATCCCTGAATCGAGGGATTCCTCAATGTATGACCTCAAAGCCTCCCTCTCAGGACCGGAAATATTAAAAAGGCGGCTAGAAGGCAGAGATGCTCCCGGAAGGAGGTCGATGGAACAATCATAATGGCGGTGTGGAGGTAGTGATAGGGCCCTCTGCTTGTTAAAAACAGGAGCTAAATCGTGATACTCTGGAGGAACACTGGACATGTCGGATTCACAGGACTCTAATTTGGGCTTGGACTTGTTTGAGATCCCTGAGCGAAGGCAGCACCTTAAGCACTTGTCGCTCCACCCTTCTACCCTTCCTAACTCCCAATTAATATGAGGATTATGAGTCTTAAGCCAGGGATACCCAAGGATTAATTGAGAGGTAGGTGACTCAAATACAAAAAAACTAGTGGTCTCATGATGGTTGCCTGAGGTTATTAAATGAAGGTCAGCTGTCTTAAAATTGACCTGGGCCAAAAATTCTCCTGTAACCCCAGCAATAGAGATTGAATCAATCCTCTTGACTGGAAGGGAGAACTCTTTAACCAAATCTTGAGTGATTAAATTTTGTTCGGCACCTGAATCAATCAAGGCTGTGACAGTGAAACGATCTTGATTGATAATAATTACAGTGGGTAACATAAGTCTTAAAGGAGGGGAGATTGATGCCGTGCCCACCTGTATCCCCCTCTTTATTGGTGGGCGTTGGAGTTTCCCTGAAACGGACAGGAGGCTACAAAGTGACCGTTCTTCCCACAATAAATACACAGACCCAAACTTCTACGTCTCTGCCTCTCTT